TGACAGAGTCTGTGATTGGATGAACAGCTTCACAGCAAATTTCAAATTCACTTAATAAAAACAAAATACTACAGATGATGGAAATTTGAAACAAACCTAGAATGCTAAAAAAAAGACTTAAGTCTGGTAGGATCTGTGGAGCAAGGAACAGACAAAGTTTCATGTTGGCATGATTCTTTAGGATTTCAGTTTACCAGCTTCCTCTACTTGTTTCAGATTCACCCGTGTCTTAGACAAAGCCCAGCAGACCTCATGCACAACCTCAATGGGTCACATTCGGACTCCTGGTCAGCCTGTTGGACAGGCCATATTAGAGGAAAAGTTCACTGAAATTACAACAGGATATTAAAAAAAAAACTATAATGAGGAATCAAAATTATCCTGCATACTAGGCTAGTAATACAGTGAACAGTAAAGATAGACAGAATTTGCCAAGCATGTTCAGGTGAATCTTTTAGGTTGGTGTGTTTGCAGTCCAACAAGGAAGGAGCTATTGATGAATATGGTTTTGGAGTACAAGGAAATTCAAGTGGATCACGTGAGGGTACGGGACCATTTAGGGGAATGGGATTCGCTATTATCAAGCTTAGGCTAGCTGTGGAGACAGGACAATAAACAATTCAGAGTAAGAATAATTAATTGGGAAAGATAATTTGCACGGTGAGAAATCATCTATATCCTCTAAATTGGAACTCAAGACTGACAGGCAGAATTGTAATTGAACAATGGCCTGCCTTTAAAGACTAATGTGTTCAGGATTTGAAAGAAAGAAAAGCATTAAATTAACATTGCAAATGGGGTCAACAACTAAATCCGATAATGGGCTATGCTTAAATTTTAACTTCTTTTAATTAACCAGAATTGTATAATAGAAATGTTTTCAAATTGCAGCACTCTTCCCTGGGAAATTAAAAGGAAATGCAATAGAAAACAATAAACTTTTGAAAAAAAATTAAAAGGTCATCTCTAGTTACTTGTTACTGTAATACAGACTAAATTACAACTTTGTGTAGCAACTAATCTTGTGCGTACAAGATTGCTCACAGTGGTGTGTCAGAAATACAACTGCACTGGGAGACCGGAAGTTTAATTAAATGGTATGAAAGGTACTGATAGTCTGCTGCCAGTCTGTAAATAGAACCAGGATTTTCTTTCCCCTAAATCGGTGAATGACAGTGCTGTACACTCAAACAATACAAGTAGGAAACCAGATAAACAAAGTTGATTCTACCTTTAAGGATGTCAATGCTGTGAAGGCCATGAGCAATATGGCTTGTGCCTTTTATTATCATCTAACATATTGATACAAATCTCCAAGAACATCATTCTTTTGATCTAATTCAAGCATGACAATGCATTAAAATGCCACTTCCTCACCTATCGTTGGGCTCCCCACAGCACAAAGTCAAATACACACATGCACATATTCTTCTACCTCAGCAAACAATACAGCACATTGTCGCACCTAAATATTTAAAAAACCAAGGTGAAAGAGAAAATGCTACAAATGGAGGTCAGTTGTTGTTTGAAATAGGAAACATTTTGAAATTTTATTTGTTCAGAAGACATTTCAAATGCTTTGCAGAACAGCCATAACACACAAGCAGCAATAATTTAGCAAGTGAAATTACTAAGTTAGTCCTCTTCATTCAAACAACAGATACTGTCACATTAACATCCAACACTACAGCTGTTCACATGATTCCATTTGCAATCATACACACGGCAGATGTCTGCACTTCACCAGTCAAGAAAGAATAAACCTAGACTGGACTTCAATATCCAGAAAGATAATCTTGGAATTAGAGATCTGGCAGGCAAGTACACAAGCTACTCCTCAATTAGGGGATGTCACATGTCATTAGCATTTAATGGCCAAGTGTACATTTCAAAAACTTCGAAGTTGTATAAAGTGTGTACAAATCCAATGCAGTCAATATTAAAGACACTAACATTCACAGGTCACACAGAATATATGGACAGGTTTAAAGTATCTGTCTTGAATTAAATGCAAATTAATGAATAAATGCAAGTGTATCTCAATAGTTACCAAAACTATATACAAATAGGAATTAAAATTGAGGCTTCTTTGCAAATTTTGTTTTTTGTGTGGAAGATTCAGAATTTTCAGCAATAGCCATTAGTTATTCTTCATCTATCAAGGAATTCGACTGCAAGGATTCTTCAACACTGAAAATATTCCCCAACTTAAATTCGCGATAAGGACAAATAACTAAGCAAAAAGAACCTCAAGGATGCATCAAGAATAAGATCCCAAGTCCCAAATGCACAGGAACAATTGTCTTCAGATAGTATAATATTGGCTGTCTAATGTTAAAACTGAGAAAGCAGATTATAATTATGTTAATTCAACAGCTTTTCAAAGAAATCCACAAATTAGGCTCAGATGAAGGCAACTTCAGCCAACTTGACTTGTTAGTACACCCCGCCACCAATATCTCAAAAGTTTTGAATAAGGCATAAGGCACTCAATCTCCACACTATACAGATCGTAGATAAAAGACTTGCTTCCAAATATCTAATTGCATGGTGTCACCTCCTGCCAGAGCAGGAGCTCACCAGTGTTGCTTCGAACGTACAGATCAGAGTGTGAGACTTCAGGCATTGCTTCTCTTCCACAGAGATATGTTGGTCTTTCGTTCAATTCTTTGGTTCAGTGTGGAAATTCAGTGAGTCAAAGCTCTCAACTGCTCACTCAGTCTCATGGTATCCCTGAACCCACAAATGCCTCCCTATGCATCTGTTTACTCAACACATTGCCAAATAGACAAAATGTCAATTGTGTTCTGATGGCAGGTCATCAATTTGAAATATTAGTAACTGGCTTTCTCCACAAATGCTGCCTGATGAATTTTCAGGTTTTTATTGTGTTCTCATTTTGCTAGATGCTGATTGAGCTGGTTCAGGGTTTAAAGTACTGTTACAAGCCACAATGGTATTTAGGTAATTGAGTTCGAAACATGACAAGTGCTTGGGCTAGACTTCCATTTGTACATAAATCATTCTATTATCACGTTCAATAGCATATCAAGTGAGTGGCAAGTCATTTTTTTTTTACCATAAAGATTATACCTGTACAATCACAAGAAATTAGAGGTATCTCCAACAACACAATTCTATATTGAAATTCATTGTGTAAACAGAGAAAAATAATTATTTTAAGTTTCAATTGACATGGCCTCCAGAGACTGTTATCTGGGGTAGGTGAGGGAAGGCAGTGGGGATAGGATAAGTAACAGACCTAAAGTTGTGAAAAGAAATTGTTATCCCAGAGAGGATGTAGAAACTCCACTGATGCTGGAACCCAGAATGAGGAAATACTAGAGAAACAAAACAGATCGGTCAGCATTGGAGAAGAAACTGCTTGGAACTATCCTTCCTCTTTACCCGGACAGTTCTACAGTGATATTACAAAATGAAGCACTCCATTTTTAATCCAATGTCATTAAACAACACTATCAATGATATCATCATGTACAGACAATAATTACCATAATTGACAAAGTCACTATTTATGATTATTCTTTGCAAGAACATAATCAGACAAATAAGGCCTGCCACCTCTCTTATAAACACAGCCATTATTTGATTTTATAAAGGATGAAAATTACAAACACATTCATTTAACATAAACCAATACTTTAAAATTTAAAACTATATCTTCCCAAACTGCAAATATTCATCACGGTTGCAATTGCTGTTGAAATAACTGCAGATTTTTAATGTCACTCAATGAAATTATACAAGGGTCATTATACATAGAGGCAGCAGGGGTGGTTCATGTTTAAAAAGATGAAGAAAAAAGCATGTTAGAGAAGCAGTGCTCTTGACTGGACCAAAGTCAAAGTCAGCTTTTAACTGTGTGGAAACAGACCCTTCAGCCTATCATGGCCACTTGAATCAAACATCTGTCCAGTCTAATCCTATTTTCCAGCACTCAGCTTGTAGTCTTGTATGCTATGGAATTTCAAGTGAACATCTAAATAGGTCTTAAAGTTTCTTGAGGGCTCCTGTCTCTACCATCCTTTCAGCAGTCAATTCCAGATACCCTCAACCCTCTGGGTAAAAACGTTCTTCCTCAAATCCCCTCTTAAACCCCTGTTCTTTCCCTTAAACCTGTGATGGCCACTAGTTATAAACATTTCTAAGGGGAAAAGCTCTCCCAACCATGTCCCCTCGGAACTTCGTACATCTGAATCAAATTCCCCATTCAGCCTTCTCTGCTCTAAAGAAAACGACCCCAGCCTAAAAGTCTCTCTATAGAATTGAATCATTCCACCCCTACTGAATCTCTCCCGTACCCCATCCAATGCAATCACATCCTTCCTATAGTGTGGCGACCAGAACTGCACAGTTCTCTAGCCATGGCCCAAATTATGTCATATTCAGCTCCACTATAACCTCCTTGCTCTTATGTGCAATATCTTGTCTAATAAAGGAAAGTATCCTGTATGCCTTCTTAACCACCTGATCTACCGGTCCTGCAAATCAACGTCCCTCTGATGCTCTGTACTTCCTAGTATCCTACTATTCACTCCCTCAGCTTAGTTATCTTCCCAAAATGCATCATCTCTCACTTTTCAGGATTAAATCCTATTTGCCACTGTTCAGCACATCTGACTGGCTCATCTATATCATTGTGTAGTCTAAGGCATTCATTGCATCAGTGCAAGATGTTTGGGGGTGTGTACATGCTTTCTTGAGCCGATGTTTGGTGCCTATATACAAGCTGAAGGCAAGAAGAGTTCCTACACAAGGCAGGGCTGCGTGGGGAACAGTCAGAGTGAAAAATGCATGCTCAACTCCAGGTATGTACATGCACACGTATTTGGCATTTCCTTAAATTTGCCACAAATAAAATCCAAGGTCAGACTTCTTTTTAACCCTTTTGTAATTTTACAATATCCACAGCAGTTATTTCACCACCAACTACTTGATGCACTGAAAGTTCTTATTTTCGTCATTAACTAGTAAATTACCTGCAATTTGTACTGAGCCTTCCTCCCCGAGGAGAATGTTTCCTGCCTTCAAGTCTCTGCAAGATAAATAAAGAAATTTAGCTGTGCAGCCATCAAAAATAAAACAGAAAAGCACTCCGAAGTACCAGCTGTAAATCGAAAATTTCAGTTAAAAAGTGGCCGAAAATAATAAAAAGGGTACAGCAGAATTAACTGATGCCCTCCTGTGCCATCATCACTCTATAACTATGGCCTATTTCAACAATTTACTGAGAAGTATCTTGAAGACAAATACTACATTCATATTCATATTATTCTTGCTATAGAAAAGTTAACTGAAAGGGAAGCATGATAATAAATTGGTTTGTCACTGTCACTTTTTAAAAGATCCCAATTTCTTTTCACTATGAAGGAGCTTAAATCATGCTGCATTTCCACTGGGTAAACTGAACTTGTTGCTTTTGATCAGAAGCACTAGTCACTAGCCATCTAATTGTTATGGCTAAAAGACCAGTTATAGGCTAAGAATCGGTGGTTCTTTTAAAAAATGTTAGTGAGAGGTGTTCATCACTGGCAATTATTGCCAGTCCCTAGCTGCCCTCGAGAAGGTGGTGGTGAGCAGCCTTCTTGAACTCCTGCAGTCCATATTGTGTCCATCTGCAAACATCCCCACTTGTGACCCTTGGAGGGAACATTATTAATAAAGCATCGAAAATGGTTGGGCTAAGGACACTGCCTGAGAAACTGCTGCAGAGATACCCTGGAACTCAAATGACTGTTCTCCAACAATCACAATCATCCTTTGAGCTAGGTGACTCTAGTCAGAGATTTTTTTCCACAATTTCCATTAACTCCAGATTTGCTGGTGTTCATTGATGCCACACATAGTCAAATAGCTGCCTCGATGTCACTCATCTCACCTTGAATTCAACTTTTTTTTTCCTTTTTTGAACCATAGCTCTGATGAAGTCAGGAGCTGAGTGGCCCTGAACCCAAACTGAGCATCAATGAGTAGGTCATTGCTAAGCAAGGGCTACTTGATAGCACTACTGATTAATTGTTGAGGTTGTCTTGCTGTGTGTGTACAGGACATTGCTGGAGCAATTTTCCACATTGCTAGTATTGTAGGTGTACTGGAACAGCTTACTAGGGACACCGATTCTGGAACACAATTCTTCAGTGCTATTTCTGGAACGTCATCAGGATCCAGACTTTGCAGTATCTAATGCCTCCAAGCTGATCTTAATATCACGTGGAGTGATCAGAATTGGCTGAAGATAAGCATCTGTGATATAGGGCATCTCTGGAGATCAAGGTGGATCGCTCACTTGACACTGACTAAACATTACTTCAAATGCTCCAGTCGTATCTTTTGCACTCACGCGTTGGGCTTTGAAATTATTAGTCCCATATATGGAGCCACTTCTTCTAATGAGCTGCTTAATTGTCTACGACCATTCACAACTGCACATGTTACAACTGCAGACCTTAGGTCTATCAATAGGTTGGCACTATTACTTGCTGCTTATACTGCTTGGCACACAGGTAGTCCTGTTTCATAGCTTGACCAAGTTGACATCTCAATTTATAAATATGCCAGTTATTAGTTGAATGTATCTTTACTGAACTTATTCCAATGTAATAATATCCCTCCTCACATAAGGAGGCTAAAAATGAATATAGTATGCTAGGTATGATTCCACTATTGCCAGTTAATGCTAGCATCCTTACTGTTTTTACTCCATGCCCCTTGTAATAAAGGCCAATTTATCCACCATTTCCTTGCCTAATTACTTGACAGACCTATATACCAACTTCTTGGTGAGTGTGTACAAAGACAACTATATCATTCTGCAAACAAACATGCCCCAATCTCCCAACATTCAAAGAATATTCATTTTTTTTATTTATCCAAAATGGAAAAACTTAAATTGTTTGACCACTTAGTTGAGATGGGGTCTTCCATCAATAGTGTGGCTAACAGTTTGCACGTAGTTAATCACCTATGTTGAACATCACCTGGTGTAATTCTGGAGTTTCACTCTAGCATGGCAGTTCTCACTGTGGTACTGCACAATTCAACTTTTTCTCTGGGCCCTCTTAGTCAACTGAGCTTTTTATTTCTTCCAATATCCTTCGCAACAGTCAGCTGCCAGGAGTCACCATTTTCATACATCACTTGTAGGTGCCCTTGTAGTGAAAGGATCCATGCCAAAGTGATCATTATACAGTTGCCAGTTTACAGTACAGATGGTCTTCGATAGACAGCGTTAGTCATCCATCAATGTGGCAAGCCATGGCTGGCAGAGCATGTGCACATGCTGATGAAATTATTTCAGGATCTGGTAGTTGGCAAACCTGTCCTGCCAAGAGCTGCACAGGATACAATGGAAACAAGAAGGTGAAAACTGTTCAGCTATTTCTGCTGCACAATGTATGTTATGTAGGTCTCGCTACAGTAGAGGAGAACACAGATTGCAGGCTTTACAGACTTGCAGTCTGGAATTCTCAGTCAGGTTCCTATTATTCCAAATTTACTCTGCACAAGTGATGGGTAGTCTTTAAACCAAACTCTTTACAGTTAGCATACAAGTTCAGCAGATAATAGGAATTGCAAATGGAGCATTAGCCTTTATTTCAAAAGGAATGAGGTAGTATAAAAATAGTGAGGACTTGCTAACACCATATAAGGCACTAGTCTGACCATAGCTGAAATACATTGAACCACTGCGGCCTCTTATCTAGCAAACATAAAATGCCATTAGAGTCCGTTTACAAAAGGTTCAATAGGCTGATTCCAAGTATGGAAAGACTATCTCATGTGGAGATATCAAGTAGGTTGGGCCTATACTTGGTAGAATTTAGAAAGATAAGAGGTGACCCTCACTGAAGCATAGAAGATTCTTAGTGAACTTGACATCTAGGATGCAGAGTGATTATTTCTCCAGCAGGAGACTTTAGTACCAGAAAGCATAATCTCAGAATGTGGGGTTACACATTTAAGTCAGAGGTAAACAGGCATTTATTCCTTCAGAGGTTCAGAAGTCTGTGCAATTTTTAAAAAAAATACACAGTGCTGTTGAGGCTCGGTCATTGTATGTTCAAAGCCAAGACAGATTTCTAAATCAGTAAGGGAATCAAGAGTTGAGGAAAAGGTAGAAAAGTGGAGTTGAAGATAGTCAGATCAGCCATGATCTTACTGAGTAACAGAGCAGAGTTGATGGCCTACTTCTGCTCCTATGTCCTATAGTCATTGAATCCTGTGCCACTCCCATTGCTATTATTTGTTAAACTGAAAAATGACCATCTTATTCACACTGCTTCTTGATCTAGAAGATTCTCCTTTCATGCTAATGCATTCCCCAACACAATGCGCTCTCATCAGTCATTTGGTACCTCATCAAATGTCTTTTATAAATTCAATTACTCTACGTCTTCTAGTTACCCTTTATTCATCCTGCTTGTTATAATCCTCAAAGAACTTAAATAAATTTCCCTTCCTCAAAACCATGCTGACTCTGCCTAATCATATTATGATTCTCTAAATGAATTTATTAGTTAGTGACTGAAACATAAACCCATTTCTTAACAAATGGTTAATTAGTACTTGAAGGAACGTGTTAGAGGGACAGAGAAAGATGCAAGATTAGTACAATTGTATGTATGAAGATGAAAAAGTCAGGCATAGTGGTTTATAGTTCAATTCTCAGGTTAAGGAACAAATTGGCTTTTAACACTAGGAACCTGGCACTAAAATATACCATTGCACAGCTTAGCAGCAGCAATATGCAAATTAATTCTTCAATTGGTGCAGACAGTTTGGCTAAATGTTTAATTGCAATCCACATCTTCCAATTAAATCATCAAATGAAGCGTTCCCTGGTCCTTACAATCTCAATAGCAACTAGGGATGGGCAATAAATGCTGGTCCAGCCACCGACACCCTCATCCCACAATAAACATTTTAAAAAAAAATCTGGTTGGGTGTGTACTTCAAGGTTTTTGCAAAGATTTGTAGCTTGGGTTGTGGGTGAGGATGTTGACTTGCTCGCTGAGCTGGCTTGTTTTCATTCGATGCGTGTACTTCAAAATTCTTCTGAACATAAACGCAAGTTGCTGGAAAAGCTCAGCAGGCCTGGCAGCATCTGTGAAGAAAAATCAGAGTTAATGTTTTGGGTCCAGTGACCTTTCCTCAGCGCTGAGAAAAGGTCACTGGACCCAAAACATTAACTCTGATTTTTCTTCACAGATGCTGCTAAGCCTGAGTTTTTCCAACAACATGCCTTTATGTTCCTCATTTACAGCATTCACAGTCCTTTCAGCTTTTATTCTTCTGAACGTAATGAACTCGATGACAGTGTAATCTACAGAACAGATTATTAATCACAGGCAGACAGAGCTATACATTAAGAAACAAAAAAGCTCCTCCGTCTTTTTCAAGGTTTCCCAAAAAGTTGTTTATTTTTCTTTTTAAAGAAAAAATGTTAGCTCATTTTTAAGAATACAAGGTTTTAAGCTTCACTGAGATAAGGTTGCATCTCCTTTAAAACTTATGGTTCCCAAAATGATGTCCTGGGAGTAATTCTTGAGGGTCTGCAAAATAAGTGAAATGCAAACAAAGAACAGATTGCAGCACCATAAACACGGCACAAAATGGGCTGCCTGTTTCACCTAGGAGGGGAGCAGCCAAGTTTAAGCAGACTCTGCATTAAGCAGCAGGCACACCCCTCTCACTGACAGATACAAGGACTTGTTTCCTTAACAACGTTTTATTATTATGGATGTGTGCAACACGTCCGTATTGTGAATATTTTACTCTTGATGGAAACCACTAATTACTAATTCATTTGAAAATGAATTCAATCAAAAAAAAGTTTGAGAACCATTGTTCTGAATCACTTCAATGACATTATTAAAAATCTGTTCTGAAGCAGCTGGAGGAGAACTATAATGGAAGTGCCACTGGTTAAAGATACTTGGCTTTGCTCATTGTTGAGCAGTTCCATGCAAGCCTCCCTTGAAAATATACACTTGATAACCTGTTGTCACAAACGTCCTGGTACAGGAAAATTTTACT